TCAAACTGCTGTGTGTACTAATCAGCTTGTTATTGTTTCCTCTAGCTTTGACCAATGGCTGTGGCAGCTCCTCCCTCACTCCTTCTGCAAGACTTTCAGCACTTAACATCGTTGGTGATCTCCTGAGAAAAGTCGGGGTAGGAATGAATCCTTCTAAAATCTTTATTGGATATATTGTTGGTTGCTTAGAAACACTGTCTCATCAGGTACAGAACAAACAGAAATATATTTGTATCAAGGCTAAAACCAGATTCTGTTTCCTATTTTGTCTCCAGGCCCTGGAGTCCAAGCTCGCAGCCTGTAGGAACTTTGCCAAAGATCAGGCAGCAAGGAAAAATTACTCGTCTGACAGCAGCACACTCATCAACAGCAATGCCACCAAATTCTCTCACTCTCTACATACCTCTTACTACGATAAAACGTGAGTCCTTGGCTACACAAAAGCTCACAGCACAAACTGAATGTGCAGAAAATAGCCAGTGTATTACACCTGGTGTTGTGTGTGTTTGTTGGCGTCTGCTAATGTTATGCATGTACTTGGCAACTGTAGGACTGTTAATGGATTGGACCCAAGCTCCTTGACCTCCATGGCGCCATCCAGGGCTGTGTCTCCACCAGGCATGCTGCCTCTTAGTGTGTGAGGTGTCCCCATGTCACACAGACCTCCACTGAAACTCTTATCCCCCCATCACGGCGTGGGAACAGAGAGGACACTTGAAAGACCATTACATTGTGTGTGCACGTGTGTGTGTGTGTGTGTGTTTGTGAGAGCGAGAGTGATGTGTGCGTTTGCCTGTTTGGGATTGTGCATTTTTGAACCTGATGTGTGGAAGAGGCTCGACTATACAATGAACCTGCCTCCAGTTTGCAGCTGTAAATGCATCTGTGAGTAGGTGCACAGTGTTTTGTGCTCACGTTCCTACCACTTGCATGTGCCTAATGCTGCACTGTACTGTGCTTGTATGAATGTCATGGCAATGTGTTGCTCTCTAGATGTCCACTCTGAAGTGGATCTGTCTCTAGTTCCACTGTTCATTTGAAAAATTCTACCCCCCGACAAAAGGTCTTCAACAGACTTCAGCTTCCTCTTAATCGTCTTTTTTTTTTTTCTTTCCTGTATTTTCACTTTAATTGCACAGTTGAACTTATTTTAATTTAGAATGTATTATATTTAAAAAGGGATATGTTTATATTAACTAATTTATCTCACAGTATGCTTTAAAATGCAACAATTTTTATTTGCAATTTTCCTGCATGTGTGCATATTTAAAGTGGGGTTGGAGAGACGTAGTAGGGGCCCTGTATTAACGACTGAAGTGAATGTTGATCATTCAAAGCCATGTAGCTGTAGCGCCGTCTTTCCTCTTGTTACTGGCTACTTGCTGTAATTGATTTGGAAGTAGTCTCCGCGCTGGTTCTGTCCTTTGGGTTAAACCCGCACTTAAACAAACTGCTCCTCTTGCTGTGTTTCCTCTGTGTACATGCGTTGGCAATTTGAGGGGAACAGTTTTGCCTTTTTTTTTTTTTTTTTTTAAATGTTTGATGCATAGATTTTCTTTTTTCATGTGTTGTGACTGGCTCATTTACCACATTCTGATGTAATGGCACGGTGCATTAGCAACATGAGTGGGTGAATTAAATTTTATAAAACACATGCATACTTAAAACAAATGGAGGATCCTCTACGAGACTGTTCGTTTACTTTGGCTGGTGTATGTTGGTAAAGTTTAGCCTTTGTGTCATGCAGCTCGTTGTGCTGAGCATCTCATAATTTGACTTGACTCTTAGATTTTTATTAGACGTTCATTTTACAACCCAGAATTTTGTTGATGCATTTCTTTCTTTCAAACCTTTGTGTTACCATTTTGAAATCTTGTTTCATATTTGAACGCTTCAGCTTTGAGATGTCACTATGAGCCTGTTACATAAGTGCGTTCTACCATCAGTGTACAGAGCTTGCAGGGATGGTAATTTTGCCGAGCTCCACGTTGTACATACGGACATTTGGCATTAAGGTCCTATTTATTTCAGATTCTGTATGGCATGTGTTCATATAACGAGTTTTACTATTGAACAGTGGCTAAGGTCACTGTTACGATATCAAATTGTTTGTCAAAATTGTTTAAGTAAATAAAGACTGAGATGATAATAAACTATTGTGTCATATTCACAAAGTCCAATTACTGGAGATTTCCTGGAGAATTTAGGCCCAAATTTGCAGCCGTGATCAACAACTATGATAACGATCATTAATAATGAAGAATCGAGATTAAAGGTTTTAATTTTTTAAAACATAAAACTTAATAATATGGAAAAACCTAGAAACAAATCAGTGTTATAGGCCCATTTAAGTTCTTGGTACAAAATGCATGACTCTCTGCTTCCAGACTTCATCAGTCCACAAATTAAAGGTCGAGTTTCTTCTCCATATCCTGCTTTAATATGTTCTTCTTGATCTACAAAAAAAAAACAAACAAGGAAGCAGCGCTCTTAGTTTAAATTTTTCAAATCAAAAATCATCTCACACATATTGATGGTTTGGCCATTTAACTATTGGTGCAGAAGTTACCTTTCCAGAGGCAGTCAGGGGGTAGCTGTCTACAAAGATCACGTAATGTGGGATTTTGAAGTGAGAAATCTAGAAAAACAGAAAACACACATCAGACCACACAGTGTACAACTGTGTCCAGACACATGTTGGTTTTATTTATCACCT